GAAACAGTTTCAGAGACTTATAGGGAGATTGTTATATCTTTCTATGACCCGCCCAGACATTGCTTATGCAGTTGGTGTCCTTAGCCAGTTCATGCATGCCCCTATGACCACTCATCTTGAAGCAGTAAAAAGAATCCTCTGATACCTTAAAAGATTTCCAAGTGCTGGCTTGTTGTTTCAAAGGCACGGACATTTGAAAGTTGAAGTGTATACTGATGCAGATTGGGCAGGATCCCTAAATGACAGAAAGTCAACTAGTGGCTATTGTACCTTCATAGGAGGAAATCTAGTTACCTGGAGAAGCAAAAAGCAAAGTGTGGTAGCTAGATCCAGTGTTGAAGCTAAATATCGAGCAATGGCTCATGGAGTGGCTGAAATTATGTGGATAAAGAATCTGTTGAGTGAGTTGGGTTTTCCCGTGGACAAACCTATGACCCTATTCTGTGATAACAAAGCCGCCATAAACATTGCTGCTAACCTATGCTACATGATAGAACTAAACACATCGAAGTCGACAAGCATTTTATCAGAGAGAAGGTTATCATAGGGGAAGTGTGTACTCCCTATGTCAACTCTGAGGATCAACTTGCAGACATCTTTACAAAAAGACTACACCACTCACAACATCATGATTTATGTGACAAGTTTGGCATGATTGACATCTATGTCCCAACTTGAGGGGAAGTGTTAACAGTTGTTATTTTTCCTATGTATAGTATCGCAGGGGTACTATTGTACTTTTACTCTTTTTTATTTTAGTTGTTGTCGTGCTAGTATATATATTAAAAAAGTTGTGCCGCCAGCAATATCTTTTTTTCTCTCAGTTCTCGCTTCTCTCTCTCTTTTTTTGGATTGGTAAAGATGAAATTCTTTATGTAGCTCGCTTTCCAACTCATAGACCTTGAAATGCAATAGCAATTGAGGTTTATGATACTCAGATACCAATACATGCCTAGCATACCAGTGTCAAACACAATATGTACCCAATACAACACTAGATACTGAATAGACACTTCCAGATAAACATCTTTTTTTTTTAGGAAAGGTAAAGTATAATTGTATTGCTGAAATGGAAAAGAAACTCTCAATAAATGACTGTACAAAATGTAGGATATTTCTCAAAAATATACTAGTTACAAAAAAGTGAATCTGTAGAAATATTAAATGCTTTAGCCCAAGAAAGGATCTTTGCTCTTATATTTGTACTCCGTAACATTAATGCCTTTAAAATGTGTAAAGTTGTAAAAAACTTGTAAAAAAGGTCATTACCCAATTTTGGTCTCAGCTATCTGGGATATTATTGGGAGAGCCAAACAGATGAACTGGATATGGACCTAATGTTTGGCTTTTTTTTATTGACAAAATAAATTGTATATGGTAGAAATTTAATTAAATTTGGGAAGACAATGGTTGCATGGGAGGAGGGAGGTTGTACCCCTTCCTTGTAAAGTGAGATATTACTTCTAACATCACATTCAGTTGGATACCTGAATTGGCTAGTTCTCCTGCAGATGACCTTGCTAGAGGATGCGTCTTGTGGAGGGAGACTTAAAAAAGGCCTACTTTCCTAGAGTGATTGTTTCATTGGTTGTTTCTGGTTTTAGCTTGATATTGCTCTATGGCATGTGTAATTTCCCAATGCTTGTGGGACCTAAAACTTTTGTATCCCTTCTTTTCTGTTAGACATACATATACCCATTAAAAGAAGGAAATTTCACACTGGAAATTTGTACTAAATACATCTCTTTCAGAATTTGTCAGCCTTTGATTGTTGAGCTTTTTTGTCTCCTACTCCTTTAAAAATTATGGGGGAGAAGTGTTATACCACTTTCTTCTCTCACATCAACAAATCAAAATTCACTAAAAGGACATTACCCAATACTGGTCCCAGACTCCCAGTATCTAGAAGACTGGGATCTTGGGAGGGGTAGACTGGATACGTGCTAACCTTTGGCATTTTTTGCACAAAGTTGCCTCTCTCAGACTCAAACCCACATTCTCACATTTGCCAGCCTGAGATTTTACCGTAAAGCCAAGTAATAGCCCTTAATAAATCAAAACTCACTGTTACTCATTTCAAATTTGATGAAATTGATGGAAATCCAATTTCATATATCTGTACAGTGTGCATTCATTTCAAAAAAGTATACCTTAATATCAAGGAAAACTAGCCCTTTCCCAAGTTAAAAGACCAAAAAATGGATTATCAGAAGATTACATAGGGCCATAAACTAATTAGTATTATCGATTATGGTGTCAAACATAAAAAGAAACACATGTATAAGTTCAAAGAAATTTCACCTTTGCATGCAGGGAACCATCGGCAATCTTGCTACCATTTGCTTTAGGAGGTTCACCAATCTGAAGACGTGGAACAGCCTCCCCCAGGATATCCCTTACAGGGCGTACCATAGGAGGACTGGATGCACCCAAGTCCTTTTGACGATTCGGTGACCTGCCATCGAATCTAGATTCTCCATCAGAAGATCTTCTCTCTTCTGACTTCCTACCATTTCCAAATCTATCATCTCGGCGCCAGTCATCAACCACCTCAAAGCGACCAGGACTTCTCCCGTAGTCACCATATCGTTGGCCTTCTTGATCATATCCGGGACTTCTTCTTTCATCATAATTATATCTATAGTTTCTTTCATCATTTCTACCACCAGGACCAGATCTTTCACCATATCGACGTTCATATCTGTCCTCATAAGGTGGGCTTCTAGAAGCACCACGATATGTATCCATCCTCCTGTTTTCATAAGAGTCCTCCCTGTCATCCTGTGCAACATATAGAAGTCAACTAGTAAATGAAGGCAGCTTTAGAAAGGGAAGCAGTCCAACATAAATTTGATGAAAAACCAAACTCCTTTTATTAATTCAGACAAAAAGAGGATACAGGGGAAACTCCAATTACCGACTTCACCCTTGGTGGTTTGTCAATGCTCCTCTCACCAGTATATCTCCGATCCACATAAACATGCTTGATGAAGTCCCTAAGTCTATCTACATTACTGAACAGAAAAGTTTGTCAGAACTGTAGCCTCACTGAGATTCCTTAAATAAATAGACAGATATATAATAACCTGCCATCTGGTGCGGAATGACGCTGTGGATCCCATTCTTTGAAGTAAGTTTCCCTTGCACGCTTTTAAAAGTAGAAAAATTAGTCCAAGTAATGAGAAATTGAGAAAGGTTAGAACATTGAGAAGATCAAGGATCACATCTATGGTGAAAGGTATGCATATATACCTCATTACCCCCTCCTTGAAGAGCAGCAACTTCTTGTGAAGTAAATTTAGCCATTGATATTGATTTCACACGGTGAGTGAACTCCCGACTGGAATAGATTTGGATACAAAATAAGTCATATCAAGTAATTTTCTGTGAATAACCTAACACTTAAGTCTAATAGGCCCTATTTATCAAGACTCCAATACAAAAGAAACAGGAATCAAGTTTACAATATCACACAAGAGCTCCGTATTTATCAGATTAATCATTTTGTGACTTGGACATGAAACAATATATGAAAGCATATATGAAAAAGAGAATAAAATCACAAAAATAAGGGAGATGGATATAATACGGAATATGTGCACTTACTGTATCCCACTGCAGGTTGTGCAAACAAATGTCCAGAAATTTGTGCACACATATTGTGGTCCCTGTTTGACAGAAAAGTATTAGATACCATAACATATTACGAGATGGTATATCTCATGTTACAAAGAGCACTAGCAAGACTGCAAGAGAACTCTTCCACATATAACCATAAACTAAGAAATTTTCATAAAACTGATCATCTTAATCAACTCTTCCATAGAAAGTATAGGGTTACAAAAACAAAACCAGCATGAGGCAGTAAAATGACAACAAACAAAAAATACTTGGGAAGATAAATACTAGAGACATGCTTCAAAAAAGGAGGCCCAATAAATGCCTCTCCCCCCATATGTGCATCCTTTGCTTTGCAAATGGTGAATCCTACCCCATTTATTGATCCATTGCCCTTTTGCCCTTTTTGTTTGGGAATCTCTATGCTCTCTCTTTGGTTGCAGGTGGAGTGCTCCCCAAGATGTAGTAAGCCTCTTCGATCCAAACTTTCTAAGGCAGCCAACAAAAAGAGGAAGGGTTATGTGGAAATCAGCAAGGGCAGCGGTGGTGTGGGTAATATGGGAAGAAAGGAATGCAAGAATCTTCAATGAGAACATAGGCCAAAAGAGGCTAGTGTGGAGGCCATAAAGATAAAAGTTACTCAATGGGTAAAATCACTCCAGCTCTTTCAAAATTTCTCAATCACTGATATTGTAAGAGCCTGGAATGAAGTGGCACACACTGCTGAGAAGAAATAAAGAAACGTGATGGAATGGAAGCCTGCAGGTCCCCACAAGTTAAAGCTCAACTTTGATGGGAGCTCTATAGGAAACCCGGGTATGGCAGGCAGGCCTTGGTGGTGTGATCAATGATTCCTCAAGCAAAGTGCTGGATTTGTACTTAGGACCTTTAGGGGAAGGAGACTCCTTAAAAGCTGAACTGTTAGCCCTGCTGCAAGGGCTAAAGATTGCCAAGCAAGCTGATCTTAAGAACTTGGAGATAGAAGGGGACTCAAAAACAGTGATATCTTGGA